CCTGGGTTCAATTCCCAGGACCCAATGGCAGCTAACAACACTCTGTAACTCCAGTTCTAGGGGACCTGACACCAATGTACTGAAAATAAAAATAAATACAATTTTTAAAAAAGGAGAGAGGAAGGGTCTGGAATAAGCATAAGAGTAAACGCTTTAAAAATAAATAAATAAATATCTGATTATAACTGTGGACTGTCCCCAGAGTTGGGACACATACTATACATATAACACCCAGAGGCCACCCACAAATCCTAAAACCTCTGCTTCGATATATTAGTGTCTCATTTGCATAAAGTGCCAGCATGGCCCCCAATTGCTGTATAATTCCTGTATCTACCTACCAAGATGAAAGCAGCTTTTAAGTTTTGATTATCTTTATGTTTCAGAGACATGGCCATGGAGGTTGGTCATAAACTTACCATCCTCCTGCATGTCCCTCAGATTCTGGGGTTGCAGATGGCACTGTGCCTGACTGCCAAAGATGACGTCTATTATTATTATTATTATTATTATTATTATTATTATTATTATTAGTTTTGTTTTTTGAGGCAGGGTTTCTCTGTGTAGCTTTGGAGGCTGTCCTGTAGACCAGGCTGGCCTTGAACTCACAGAAATCCACCTGCCTCTGGGTGCTGGGATTAAAGGTGTGTGCCACCGATGCCCCAAGGATGAGGTTATTATTTTTGTTTTCAATTTGCAAACAGAACCCCTAAACTTAACCAACCAAGCAAGCAAACACAAAGCAAGGCCAGCCTGACGTTTAGCTGAGGGTGCTTTCCATCATGCTCACTCCCTGCCATTTTGGAAAGTTGGGGAGTCAGTGCAACTGTCCCTCCCCCTCAGAGACTAGATGGAAACTCTGCCCCAGGCACTTTCCTAGCTGTTTTCCTTTCTCCACCTCAAACCTGAGCTGTCAACCTCAGTCCTCTTTCCCTTTCCCTTGAGGCTTCCTGGGCTGCCTTCCAAAGGAGCTCCTTGAAGACAAATAGGCTGGGTCAACAGTCAGGAGCCTCAGGTGATCTGAGCCTCAAACCTGCTCACTCCCTTTCCCTTGAGGCTTCCTGGGCTGCCTTCCAAAGGAGCTCCTTGAATACAAACAGGCTGGGTCAACAGTCAGGAGCCTCAGGCGATCTGAGCCTCAAACCTGCTCATGCATCAACAGTGAAAAGCAGTGAAGCTGAGGAGGAGCTACTGCCATTCCTTGCTTGTTTCTTCTCTGTACATACAGTAGTAAAGTGATGACTGGCATTTGAATAGTGTTTCAATCACTTGCAAATTCATTACTCAATGAGCTGTCATTACTTGAAATTTTTGTTGTTATTGAATGGTTGGGGATTTAGCTTAGTCACTGAACACTTTGCCTAACAAGCTGAAGACCCTGGGACTGGTCTGCAACACCCCTCCTGGTGGCTGGAAGAAACTTTTATTATTGTGTGTGTATGACGTGTGTGCAAGCACAGGCAGGCTCTTGTGCAGAAGGACAACTTTTGGAAGTTGGTCTCGCCTTCCACCAAGGGTTCCAGAGATCATGGTCAGGCTATCCAGCTATCCAGGATTGTGCTGTCCGTGTTCTTAGCTGCTAAGCCATCTTGCCAGTCCACATTTTTTAAATACCTTTTATAGAAAAAAAAAATTGGAGATCTGTTAGGCATGGTGGCGCATGCCTATAATTCCAGCATTTGGGAGGTAGAAGCAAGAGGATCAGAAGTTCAAGACCACCATAGGCTACATTGCATGCTTGAGGTCATCCTGTGCTACACAAGTCCCTGTCTCAAAACCCAAACCAAACAACCAATCAACAAGCAACCAAACAAACAAAAACCCTGGAGCTGAGAAGATAAGCTCCTGAATTGCTTACTTCAGTTTTACTCAAGTTTTGTGATTGGGGACAGCAGAGGGGGTAAAATCACATTCTCCAACTAACCAAACAGCTTTACAGGCCAGAGCAGCACTTCCATACTAGAATAGTCCAACAACTCTGACCTGTTTTCATTCGTGGAGGCAGTATGGCATATAAATTCAAAAAATCTGGGCTCTTCTCTTAGCTCCACTGTTGCCTGCTATGGCGTCCTAGGCCTCTATGGAGTCTTGCTGCTTCCCACAAATTAGCCTAACTCTGAGAGCCCTCGATGCCTCAGACTTTCAAACAGCAACATTAGCATTTTTGGTCTTACTCTCTAGTTCAGTAAGCATGGATAGTAGTTATTTGAAATTGTAGATAAGGTCTACAGGGCTCTCCCCAGGTTTACTGTTGCCCTCACAAATCCTCATCTTTTGCTCTTCATAGCCTGTGTATCCCACAGGGCAGCTGAGCAGAAGCATGAGGGGCACTCAGGTGTCAGAATCCTTCCGTGGACCTAAAGGAATGAACCTCCATCTGTATACACTCCCAACAGTGCTTCAAGTCCAGGCTTCAACACTACCTTGTTCTGGAAGGTCTCCTGGAAGGAGCCTTGGGCCCTCTAGACCTACAAGCTTTTTAAACTATGACTCATGACCATATGGAGTCATATAACTGAAAATCTTTGTTTTTTCCTTTCTTTTCAAGACAGGTTTCTTTGTGTAGTTCTGGTTGTCTTTGAACATACTCTGTAGACCAGGCTGATCTTGAACTCACAGATATCCACCTGCTTCTGCCTTCCAAGTGTTGGGACTAAAGGTGTGCACCACCACCACCTGGCTTGATCTCTCTCTCTCTCTCTCTCATTTGACTTTTTAAACATTTCCACATTCTACAGATCACTTTACCCTGAGAGAGGGAAGACAGACGAGGACTCAATGGTGCATCAGCCTTGGGACCAGAAGGGAAGGCCTGGACCCAGCTGGCAGCAAAGGGGACTTGTGTCTCTGGGATGCTGCCCCACCTCCAGCTGATCGAGTTTGTGGACTCAGTTGCAGGCTCACCCTTAAGATGTTTGTTTTGATTCCCAACTTCTCCTTAGCAAGTAGTCAAAGTTCACATCCCACCTCTTGGATGTCATTTAGTGCCCAGTGTCACAAGTTATTTATCCCAGGAGCCCAAATTCCCTCATGTATAAAACAGAGAGAGAGATACTGTACCTACCTCACAAGGTTACTAAAAGGAAACACGGAATCAAAAGCACTTGGCATGTGCCGACATTCTAACAGCTGGCATTGCTTCTAACACCGGAATATATGCTGTGTGTAGCTCTTGCTTTTCACCCCACAGAAGAGGCAAAGGTAGCTGAGTGTGAGATGAGCTACTCACCCTGTTGAATCTGATGACCACAGATGAGGCTGAGCACAGATGAACTATGAACCTATTTATTGCAGTCACAATTAAAAAAACAAAAAACAAAACAAAACAAAAAAACCATGGTGTGTTGGTGTCTTTTTTTTTTTTTTAAGTACTTTCTCTAATATAATTTCCACAAGTGCATTCTTGGACACCAAATTCATCTGAGTTTCCTAGAAACAATTTGTTATATTCATACTGTTACCTAATTTGAAATCAAGTACCTACTAATTTTACTCACCTCTAAAACCGAATCTGATTATATATAGGTTTGTAAAGAAATAAAAAGGGGGGATGAGCAGCATTTGGATTTGATGAACTGTAAAGAATTGTTTCTCTGTGAGTTCCAGGATAGCCCAAGCTACATACTAAGACCCTGTATTGACAAGCACTTTCTGTCTGCTAGGTGTGGTGTTCTAGTGTCAAAGTTTCAACAGATTATGGCAGCTATCAAGTTGTCTTTTCCAGCATGATCCATCCAGGTGCAAAGGTTTGTCAAACTATCCATCCTATTGAATCTTCCCAAACCCCACTCTGTATTGTTACAGGGAGAGCTCAGAAATACACACCTGTTGTTCTCATTAAAAACAATTAAGGGGGCCCAGTTAGATGGAGCAGTGGGTAAGGATGCTTGCCACCAAGATTGAGGACCGGAGTTTGATCCCTGGAAATCACATAAAAGTGTGTCTGCAACACACCTGCCATGGCATGTGCCTCTGCACACACCCTAAATACAAAATATAAACAAAAGCCCTTTTGGAGAGCCAAGAGTGACAACACGTATTAATCCTAATGCTTGGACAAACTGAGGCAGGAGATTGAAAGTACATGGTCAGCTGGGCTACATAGGAATGAGGTCTCATAAAAACCCAAACCAAAACCAAATTAAACATTCTGGTAACTTCCCAGGACTTACTGGGATCAAACTGAAATCTCTTTGTGTGACACAAACACTTCATAATCTCGCTTATTTTGTACCCTACTGACACCAGAAGAGTAGTAGGGGAATGCTGGCAAAGGGTCGGATACGATCTCAGACTTTACAGGCAAAATTGTCACTACTATTCAAATCCATGGTTGCAGCATTGAAGCAGCCACAAACAACACATAGACAAAAGAACATGGTTGCTTTCTTATAAAACTTTCTCAATACTGGGGCTTCAGATATAGCTCAGTTGGTAGAGTTCTTGCCCAGCATGCATGGCTTCAGTCCCCAACACTATACAAAGTGGGTACTGAATGGTACACCCATAACCCTACCACCGGGGAGGTAGAGACAGGAGGAACAGAAGTTGAAGGTCATCTTCTACTACACAGTGAGTTCAAAGCCATCCTGGACTAGACCGTGTGCCTCACAAAAAAACAACCCTCCCTATAACTTTATCAGCAGTAAGCCAAATCTGATTCACATACTAGTTTTTCATTTATTATTTTTTTTTTTTATCAGCAGTAAGCCAAATCTGATTCACATACTAGTTTTTCATTTATTTATTTATTTATTTATTTTTTGTATTGCTAGGAATGGAACCAATGCTTATAGCTGCTAGAAAATATTCTACTGTAGATTGTCAGAAGCCAGCCTTGGCTGGCTAGCCACCAGCTAGTCTAGCATCCCACGATGTCAGAAACCAGCCTTGGCGACCCCCCATGCCTAGCTAGCCACCAGCCAGTCTAGCATCCCACCCCTCAGGGTTGGGGTCCTGGCCTGAGAAGCAACTAACACCTATCCCTTCCCCCACTTCCTTAACACAGGAGATTCCGGATACCTGCCTGAGAGCAATTAACATTCATTCCTCCCCCACCTCCTTTTTCTCTGCTTTTTCCTTTCTCTATAAAAACCCCTTGTAATAATCAATAAAGGGCCTTGACAAGAAATCTGCTTGGTCCCGCTCTTTCTTTCCCGCCCATTATTTGCAGGCGTGATCCACCTCGGACTCACAAATTACCGGAGCCCCGCGGGACGGGGCAGTAGATATACTCTACTGAGCTATATCCACAGCCTCTAAACTTAAAAATATTTCAATTGGGTGGTGGTGGCACACCCCTTTAATCACTTGGGAGGCAGAGGCAGGAGAATTTCTGTGAGTTCGAGGCCAGCCTGATCTACAAATTGAGGACGGGCCCCAAAGCTATACAGAGAAACCCTGTCTCAAGAAAAAAATATTGTCTTGAAAAAACAAGCCCAAAACAATTTTTTTTTCTTTTCAATTAGGGGCTAAAGAGATGGACCAGAGCCGGGTGTTGGTGGCGCATGCCTTTAATCCCAGCACTTGGGAGGCAGAGGCAGGTGGATCTCTGTGAGTTCGAGGCCAGTCTGGTCTCCAGAGTGAGTGCCAGGATAGGCTCCAAAGCTACACAGAGAAACCCTGTCTCCAAAAAACAAAAAACAAAAACAAAAACAAATGGACCAGAAGTTAAAAAAACACTGGCTGCTCTTCCAGGGATCAGGGTTTGATTCCCAGCACCCACATGGTGGCTAACCACCATCTGTAATTGCAGGGTTTTTTTGTGTGTGCAAACACAAACACACACACACACACACACACACACACACAGAGAGAGAGAGAGAGAGAGAGAGAGAGAGAGAGAGAGAGAGAGAGAGAGAACAAAAACAAAAACAAGATGTCCATCCCTTGGCTGCCTTCCCTACTCCCTCCAGCTGTTCCTCAGCCCCCCCAGGACTGAACCCTGGCTAGGGCCAGATAGCAGGACAGCCCCTCAAATGAGGTCAGCAACATTGAGGGGCATCTCTTCAATGGCGGTGTTATAGAATGTCTCAATGTCTGGAAGAGTCCTCTTGTCTTCTTCTGTCACCATATTAATAGCCACACCTTTACGGCCAAAGCGACCACCACAACCAATTCGGTGGATGTAGTTTTCCCTGTTGTTGGGAAGGTCATAATTGATGACTAAGGAGACTTGCTGCACATCAATGCCTCTGGCCTAGGTCAAGAAAGATCATAGAGCTGTCAAAGGGTACAATTCTGTCCAAACTGACTTAGGCACACATGTAGGTAGCCAAGTCAGGCAAAGGCAACAAACATCTCTTGTTCCCGAGACCTCAGGCATGCCAGGTTTTCTTCCAAGTTGCTACGTTCCTGCAAGGGGCACTAGTCAGCCCCTTGGATAACTCCAGTTTTTTAATTGACATTTTTTAATATAAATTTCTATTTAAATTAGAAACAATCTTGTTTTACATATCAATCCTAGTTCCCTCTCCCTCCCATTGCCCCCCACTGACACCCCCAACCCACTCCCCATCCATTCCCCAGAGAGGGTGAGGCTTTCCATGGGCAATCATCAAAGTCTGTCATGTCATTTGGGGCAGGGCCTAGGCCCTCCCCTGTGTATCTAGGCTGAGAGAGTATCCCTCCACGGGGAATGGGATCCCAAAGTCCACTTGTGCACTGGGGATAAATACTGGTTCCATTGTCAGAGGCCCTATAGACTGCCCACGCCTCCTAACTAACACCTACCTTCAGGGGACCTGGTTCAGTCCTATGCTGGTTCCCTGGCTGTTAGACTGGGGTTCATGAGCTCCCACTTGCTCAGGTCAGCTGTTTCTGTGGATTTCCCCAGAATGGTCTTGACCCCTTTGCTCATCACTTCTCCCTCTCTTAAACTGGATTCCAGGAGTTTGGCTCAGTGCTTAGCTGTGGTTCTCTGCTTCTGCTTCCATAAGTTACTGGATGAAGGCTCTAAGATGGCATATAAGGTAGTCATCAATCTCATTATCGGGGAAAGGCATTTAAGGTAGCCTCTCCATTTATTGCTTAGATTCTTAGTTGGGGTCATCATTGTGGATCTCTGACATTTCCCTAGTGCCAGATTTCTCTTAATGGCTCCCTCTAGTAAGGTATCTCTTTTCTTACTCTCCTCTATTCTTCCCTGGACTCAGTGTTCCTGATCACTAATGTTCTCCTCCCACCCCTCCCAATTTGCTCAGATCTTGTCCTTTTTCCCTTCTACCTTCTCTGGCTGTGTGGATTGTAGGGAGGTAATCCTTTGCTCTATGTCTAATATCCATATATGAGTGAGTACATACCATGCTTATCTTTTTGTGACTGGGTTACCTCACTCAGGATAGTTTCTTCTAGTTCCATCCATTTGCCTGAGTATTCTAAGATTTCATCGTGTGTTTTTCCTCTGAGTAGTACTCCATTGTGTAAATGTACCACATTTTATTTATCCATTCTTTGGTTGAGGGGCATCTAGGTTGCTTCCAGGTTCTGGGTATTACAAATAATGCTGCTATGAACATAGTTGAGAAAATGTCCTTGTTGTATGAATGTGCATCCTTTGGGTATATGCCTAAGAGTGGAATTGCTGGATCTTGAGGTAGACTGATTCCCATTTTCCTGAGAAACCACCATACTGATTTCCAAAGTGGCTGTACGATTTTGCACTCCCACCAGCAGTGGAAGAGTGTTCCCCTTTCTCCACATTCTCTCCAGAATAAACTGTTGTTGGTTGTAATTCCAGTTCTAAGGGGATCCAGGGCCCTCTTTTGGTCTGTGCATGCATTGCACACATACACACAGGCAAAATACCCACACACATGAAAAAACCAAAGTAATATAAAAAAAGGTTTGTCCTAATAAACTGTTTTAAAAAATATGTCCAACTGGAGGGAGGAGGCTAGAGATGGCTCTGCTCTTAAGTGCACTGTCTGCTCTTCCAGAGGACTCAGGTTCAATTCCCAGCATCCACATGGCAGCTCACAATTGTCTGTAACTCCAGTTGAAGGGGATCTTGCATCCTTTCCTGCCTCTGAGGGCACCTACTCTGTGCACACATGCAAGCAAAACAACAAAATACATAAAAATGAATGAGTCTTTAAATCTTTCAAGTGGGCTGGTAAGATGGCTTAGGGGTTAAAGGTACTTGCTGCCAAGTCTAGAAACCTGAGTTTGAAAGGATTCCTGCAAGTTCTTTTCTGACCTTCACATGCATACATAATTCACAGAATAAATGCACACTACTTTATGTAGGCAATGTTTTCCTGTGTCGGTAGCAGTTCTCAAATAACCACCCAGTCTAAATAATAATTATAAATGCTTGGCCAAAAACTCAAGGTTTGTTACTAGCTAACTCTTACATTTTTCAATTGACCCATATTCCTTATGCTTTGGCATGGGGCTGGGTACCTTTTCTCAGTATGGCATGCCCATCTTGCTTCTCTGTCTGCTCTTGACTCCTGACAATGCCCTTCTTCCTTCCAGGATTTCTAGTCTGGCTCTCCTGCCTAACCATATCCTGGTCAGCCAATCATAGTGACATATATCCACTCAATGTAAACTCCACAACTTTAAGTCTTTCAAATTTCTTAAAAATGAACAAATAAGTGGCCAAGGAGGTGGGTGGGTCTATGGGTAAAGGCACTCAACAACAATCCTGAGTTCAATCCCTGGGTCTTAGCTGGTGGAAGAAAACTGACTCCTGCAAGATGTCCTCTGAGGGTTATACACGGCACATACAAGCTTTCTTGCTATCTTACACACACACATACTGTGAATAAAGGTATTTACTACCATGCCTAGCTAAGATGATTTTTTGGAGTAATAAACCAAACAAAAAAACAACAACAAGAAAAAAGGATTCAGTGGGGGTGGGGGTGGTGCATGCTTTTTATTCCAGCACTTGGGAGGTAGAGAGGCAGGTGGATCCCTGGGAGTTCAAGGCCAGCCTGGTTTACAGTGAGTCCCAGTACAGCCAGAGATACACAGAGAAACCCTGTCTTGAAAAACTACCACCACCACCAAGAAAAACAACAAAGGATTTGAAGAGGGGGAGGAGGAATTGGAGAAGTCACCAGAACACAGCCCACAGAATCAACTAAGCAGGGCTCATAGGGGCTCACAAAGACTGAAGTGGCAATCACAGAGCCTGGTGTTTTGAGGTGACTCCTGTTTGGGACCCTTTTCTTCCTATTGGGTTGCCTGGCCCAGCCTTGATGTGAGGGTTTGTGCCTGATCTTATTGTATCTTGATGTGAGGGTTTGTGCCTTATTGTATCTTGTTGTGCCATGTTCAATTGAAGTCTCTGGGAAGCCTGCTCTTTTTTGGGGGGGAGATGGGGGTGGAAAGGAAGGGTGGAACTAGGGAAGAGGGCAGGTGTGGGGGCTGGGAGGAATGGAGGGAGGGGAATCTGTGGTTTTAATGTACTGTATGAGAAAAGAATAAAAATTAAAACAAACACGGATTCAGAAGCCAGGGTTAGTGCTGGCATACACCTATAATTCTAGCATTTGGGAGGTTGAAGTAGGATTGCTGTTTTGAGGCCAGCTTGAACCTCGAAGCAAAATTCTGTCTCAAGATGAGTATGGCAGTGTATACCTGAAACCTCCAAAGTTAGGGGGTGAAGGTGGGAGGATCAGGGGTTCAAGGTCATTCTCAGATACAAAGTGGGTTCAAGGCC